AAATCTTCGGCAACGTTTTGACCTTGTCCAACTCTGCCAGCACCAGTGCATCTGGTCTTCCATATCTTCTTCTGAGGGCTTGAATCACTTCCATCGGAGAGGCTTCGGAGTACAGCAGACTCTTGATAGCTTCTCTTGCGTTGCCCTTCAGTGCTCTTCTTAGCCGAGCCATATTCTGGACGTTGTTGAACATCGGTGCTGTATCTTCATAGACAACCTTGAAGGCCATCCACTCGCTGCTGTTGCCGTCGAAGTAGGGTAACTCGTGAATGTAGGTTGGCTGTCCTGCTGGTCCTCGCGTGGTAAGAGCTTCCTTCAATGCTGCCGTCAGTGCTTGAATTTCAATCGTAGCTCCTCTCGTTGAGGAGTTCTCTTCAGGCTTCATCTTCTGTGGCTCTTCCAAGGGGTGTGGACCTCGCATCTCTGGTTGAACTTTGTTGCCATCCTCCAGCACAGACGTCTCGATCCAGTTCTGCACCTGTGCTGTTCTGTCTTCCAGGTCTTCATCCACGGAGTCCTCTTCTTCACACTGTGCCATCTCCAATCTGACACGGGCTAGCTTAGTTTCAGCCTGTGCTTGCTTCAACTCCAGGCGTGCCAACTCTTCCTTTGCTTCTAGCTCGCGTCTTCTGGCCGAGGAACTCGTGGTCTTCGTGGACCTGGCGCGACGACTGACCCCCATCGGTTTCAGGGTCTTGGAGGAGCCTTGAACATCCTTTCCAGGTACATCTTCTTGGCTCTTCCTGGTCATCCTCTGTGCAGCATCTTCTTTGTTGCCTTCCATAGACGCCGCCGTAGTTGCAGTCGTAACCGTAGTCTCTGTCACTGTGGTGCCCTCCGTGGTCGTGGTACCCGAAGAAGTGTTCGATGTAGTTGCAGTTCCCGATGACGCCGACGCTGACGTGACCCCTTCTGATCCCGACGTTCCATCTGTCGCGTCCCTATCTGAAGGACGGGACCCGGGACGTGAGGGGGCATCCTTCTGCGACCTGGTTACCGGCATCTTGAACGCAATCTTCTGTTTCTTCTGAACTTCTTCTAGCAGGGATCCGGCTCGAAGGACCAACTGTTTCGGACGACCAGAACCAGGGTATGTCTAGTACCCGGAGGTCGACCTGGGACAATCTCCCAGACGTTCTTGGCGTACACGGCAGTATGTCCGTTCGCTGGTAATGTACGCCACCACGCACCCCTGAATGCGTAGCTTGGGTCCCGATCCACTAGGGTTTCTTCGTTGACAGGAGACTATACTTAGAGGCGATGAAATAAAAACACAATTTTTCCTTTTTTCTCTCTTGGTTTCGGTTCTTCCTTTTCCTTTTAGTTGTTGCCTCTTCGGTGGCTGTCTTGCGACTGACTCGAATCGAGAAATGGCTCGCCTTTTATTTGGCCCGTTAATACCTTACAGAGAGCCGCGTACTTTGAGCTCATTTTTCGAATAAAATTTCCCTAAACCGAAACCTTGAGAGTCCTTTTATTTTATGTTTTCAGTAAAACACCTTACACATATTTATTTATTTACATGCCTTACATACTATTATACAATATTAAAACATAATATTCAATATATAATAATTATTTAAAAAAGTCTTAAAACAAAAATATCTAAATTTCTAGGTTGCTACATTTTTACTATACATTTTCCCTTATAACTTTTGAACGGATAGTCCTATCGACCTAATTCTTGTTTTATTATAAGTTTTATAATAAAATCTATTATTTAAAACATAAACTATTATGCTATTGCAAGAAACAAAAAATCTCATTTTCAAGTTACGTAATTATATGCTAACATTTTACTTACGTACCTATTCCTTTCAAATTAATGTTAAATAGTCTTATATGATTCAAATAAGCAAAAAATACTCTAAACTAACCTTATTACACTAATTAGAACTTATTTTAACATAATAAATCTAATAAGAATGAGATTTCATATTTACAACAATTATTCATAATACGCTAAAATGACATTGTCCCTATATTAATACACACGTTACTCGAAGATAGGTTTTCCGTCGCCGACAAAGCCGAATGTGTACACTATATATTTTTCAGAAAATCTTATTGAAATAGACATTATTGTCGATACAGAGGCCGAATCTATAGTTTTTAGAATTTTTGTCTGTCTGTATGTTTGTCTGTCTATCTGTTACCGCATAACGGAAAAACCACTGGAGGGACTTTTAATGAAATTTGGTATGATGGTAGCTGGTTATCCGGGTCAACAAATAGGATACTTTTTAACGCTGGAAAATATCTCATTTAAGAGAAAAAATACAAAAATTGCAATGTAATAGTATACTAATATGTAAAACCTAAGAATTTGGTTTTTGGTCATCTGAACGCAGGCGGAGCCGCGGGCAATGCTTGTGTTTAATAAAAATTGTACATAACGCTATGTACAATTTTATATATCAAAACAATAAAAATTCTAATAGTCCCACTCTCTACTGAGTTTCTTTCGCCAGTTCTTCTTAATTCTGGTACATTTTTTTTCATCACATTCTTTGTAATTGTATGTAAAAGTAGATGCAGCATATTTTTTTTTTAATTTGTCTTCTAAAATTAATATAATTTATTAAGTAAAAAAGAATTTCGACTTATTTTATCGTATAATTAAGTGGAATTAATTTCTGTTACGCGGTCTAACCACATTTTATGCAAATGAACAGCTTGCATTTAACTGGTTAACGCATTTTATATGAGATCTTGTTATGTATGGTTTTTGGGCACTTTTTTGGACAGGTACATATAAATTTGACAATTAATACTATTATTGAGGGACAATTAACTATACACATATAATACATTGTAACAATACATTTTTTATAAAATTGATAGCAATTTTTCTACTTTTATTGATATATATATATATATATATGCAAAAATGGTTCAATTAATAAATTCATCAAAGCTTCAAAAACAACAAAGAGTCAACGCTAATGGACTTTATTGTTGGAAATGCTAAGCTTTGTATAAACCTAATCCATCTTGATTTGTCGCTAATGGTTTTAAAATATAAACACTTTATTAATTTTATGCCAAAAAGTTATTCATCGAGTTCCTTCTCAAATTAAACTTAAAGGACACATATATTTCTTTTTTTTTATAAAAGAAGGTATAACTAACGTAAGACTATTGATATTTACCTATCTATACTTAATATTATAAATAGGCAAAGTTTGTTTGTTTGAACGAGCTAATCTCAAGAACTACTAACCCGATTTAAAAAAAATCTATTTGCATTAGATAGTCCGCTTATTGAGGAAAGCTATATAAGCTATATCATATAGTATGTGGTCTGTCTACCATTCCAAAGATGGGAGGATGGCTGTGGCAGGCGGCACATGGACTAGAATAGCTAGAGATAGATAGTTAAGGAGGAAATTGGAGGAGGCCTTTGCCAACAAAGGGCAAACAGACAAGGTTGTCGAGGCAAAGTAATCTTACTATATACAAAAATAAATAAATAATAGAATAAATACCTAAAACATAGTCAAATATGTATCTTAAGTAATTTGTCATACATGTGTAAAAAGAAAACAATTAAATATAGGTTGTAATCTTTATTGTAAACCATGTCTGAATAAAGGCTTATATTATTATATTATTCTTAGCATTGCCCGCGGCTCCGCCCGCGTTCAGATGACCAAAAACCAAATTCTTAAGTTTTACATTTTAGTATACTCTTACATTGCAGTTTTTGTATTTTTTCTCAGAAATGAGACATTTTCCTGCGGTAAAAAGTATCCTATATGTTGACCAGGATAACCAGCTATCATCATATTAAATTTCATCAAAATTCCTCCAGTGGTTTTTCTGTGATGCGGTAACAGACAGACAAACAGACAAAAAATCTAAAAACTATAGATTCGGCCTCTGTATCGATAATAATGTCTATTTCTATAAGATTTTCCAAAAAATATTTAATGTATAGATTCGGCTTAATTACAATTTTATTATATGTATAGATTATTATAGTCTGTCTATTCAATACTAACTGTTAAAACGTACCTATATAATATTATTCTCAACTGAAGGACAGTTAACTAATTAACCAACCTAAAGTAAACTAAAATAGCGAATCAGAAGTTAAAGGAGCACAATAGTTCTTTATATATCATATATTATGTACACATATTATAAAATTTTTTGTACATTTATAGAGGATACAAAGTTCCATGAAACTTCGTCATGTTTAAAGCTAGAAATATGGATCTGGTGTATAAACTTCTGTACATGTTGCCGATGGAAAATATAATCTAAATTTTTATTGTTTAGATTTGAAAATGTTCTCCAAGTTCACTGAATATTTTGCCAAAAGCCATATAGTGACCTAATAAATATTCGACTCGCTTAAATTAAGGTAAAAGTGGAGTTTGGATACAGCTTCCAAAATTTATAATAATACACAGCAGAAAGTTAAAACGAATCGATATATAACTATCACCTATCATTGTAAAGTTACAATACTCTGTAAAAACAAATATTAATATGAAAACACTTCAGACCAATATATTATATAAATATACTATATAATAGACCAATACATTATATAATATAATTTGAATATTATTAAGGATGTTTGTACTGTAATTAAAGGTTCATTGTCAAGGATGTTGCGTATTTTACATTTTTATCTGTTTATCTGTAAACGCACAATCATGCGAGTCACTGGATTTTGTTAAACTTTTTTGTTACTTTATAGTTATTTATTTACTTAATAATCGTTTATAATTAATAAAGTAAAAAATGGTAGTGTTTTGTTTTCGTGTAAACTGACTTAGATTACGTAGGTAGTGTTTGTTTACAAATACAAAATAAAGCAAATAAAAATATTATAAATATATTGTTAGATTAATTTTAGTATATTGAGTAGATGTTTTCCTTTTAAGTGAATGGGTTATGTTAAGATTAATTTCTATAGAAATATATCGTTTAGGTATATTGTAAGAATTTTTTTTTTATAATAATATATGAGATTCTTATTATTTAAGGTAACAGATCCCAACCTGTTAGTGGAATATCCGCCTATACAACATGCTCACGGCTTATTGTCGACGGCACTTGGGTTAAGAGTACCGCCCGGGCGTACTATGGAAGTCCGATGTATAGCTAGAGTGGCGCTAGCGTGGCGAGAAGGCAGCGAAGCAGTTGTAGGCAATAGCCAGGTAGCTGATAGTAAAGAAGCTATGTTGTTAGGTAAGTAATATGAATTTTATTTAATTTTTTGCTTGTTTTTTTTCCTCCAATCTTGCTCTTCAGCAGCTCTTTAAAACTTTTGACTTCTACTTATCAATCCATTCTAATAATTAACTTTGTATATTGATCGACTCGAATCTATTATAATACATATATTATTAATATTATAAATGTGAAAGTAACTCTGTCTGTTACCTTTAACACTTACATCGCTGAACAGATTTCGATAAAATCTGGCTAAGACATAGATGTATCCTGGGGTCGGATAAAGGTTACTTTTAATCCACACCCGGCTTATCATGTAAGCGAGGCAGCGGACAAACACTACTATAATATATATATATATATATATATATATATATATATATATATATATATATATATAGACATTAACAATATACCTCAATGAACAATCTAAAAATAATTATACCGACATTGATATTTCAACAGACTTAACCCTATTCAGCGAAAAGCGTTAACAGAAATAATACCAAGATATTGTATTATGTCATCTAATCAGTCATTCCCGTTGTTTCGCAAATGATTTCATTAACATCCACATTATTCATATTCTAATGACGCTTATGGAAGTTTACTTTAGACTGACTTAATTTTATTTGTTACTTCTCTGTATTTACTTATACTTAAAGTGTTATGTGACTATCAAATTGAAAGTCCCGAGTTCGAACCCTATTCGATGTAATATTTCAGTCTACTTAAGTACCTCTAGGAGTATTTAATGTGTAGAAGGTTTGATCAGTACCTAGCCAATTAACTTATATATAATCCATAATAATTTTATAAATATAAAAGTTTGTTTGTTTATTTGTTTATTTGCTTGTTTGTTTGTTTGTCTTTCTTTCACGTCGAAACAGAAGATAGTTGGAGGGATGAAGAGTGACAAAAGCTACTTTTTACAGCGGGAGATAATCTCATTCCCACGGGAAAATACATTATAATACAATTATTCAATCAAAAAAATATATATGATCAGAATTACTTAAAACTTGGTATTAATGTTCTTCAATAAAATTAAATTAATACGTGTTTTTACGAAATTCATCCTATAAGAGGGTAAAATAGAGGAGGAAAGTTTATATGAGACTACCTTTTTAGAGATTTTTTTTTAGTTTTAGCGCGAGCGAAGCCGCGGGTTCTGCCAGTACATATATAATTTGTTAAATAATAATTTAAAAATGTCCAATATATAATTACTATATATATAGTTTTTAATATTATTATTACACTCAGCTGTTTCTGTAGAATACCATCAAAAACTAAACCATATGCCAAGTCTTTTTCTTTCTAGCAGTATTATTTTTTACTTTTATGATTAAATGTTTATATTCTAAGCTTATGTTATGTTGTATGCAAGTCTCTGGTACTTCTACCGAATGTTATTCTTGTAAGACAACCTGGCGAGGAACTTAACATTTGCTTTTTTTTTATCTTTAAAGCTAATCTCAGAAACGGTTTAACCGATTTGGATGCAGTTTTCAATGATGTATATGGAAAGCTTCACTAAACATTTAGTATTTGTTTTATTTTAATCGGTTCATAATTAAAAAAAAATATGTTAATTTAAAGAATCACCTAGGGACGAACCCGAGCCAAGCGAGAATAATTCGCTAGTTTAAAAAAAATAAAAAAAAAGAAATAAGATAATAAAACACACGAATTTGAAGTTTATATTTTTTTATGATATAACTTCCAGTTTTAATGGATTTTCCTTATATATACATACTTCATAGAATACTTGACTTAATACTTTTTTCACAAATAAGCCTCGTAAATATTGCTATCCTGTTTTTATATGGCCGGTGTAAAAGAAAAAAAGAATATATTCAGAAAATAAATGGAACAAGATTCATATTTCTTACGTTATTATATAACTTGTTACTTACCTAACTTTTTGGAAGCGTTGTCTGCTTCGAATACGTGTTTATACTCTTTTAAAGAATAAAACTATTAAGAAATAAGAACTTATATGAAACTAGCATTGCCCGCGGTTCCGCCCGCGTTTAGATGACCAAAAACCAAATTCTTAGGTTTTACATATTAGTATACTTTTGCTAAGTATCCTATATGTTGACCCGGATAACCAGCTATCACCATACCAAATTTCATCAAAATCCCTCCAGTACTTTTTCCGTGATGCGGTAACAGACAGACAGACAGACACACAGACAGACTAAAATTCTAAAAACTATAGATTCAGCCTCTGTATCGATAATAATGTCTATTTCAATAAGATTTTCCAATAAATATTTAATGTACAGATTTGGCTTAGTTACAATTTTATTATATGTAGAGATTTTAAGATATTTAGATTATAAATAACACATGTTATTTATATACACATTCATAAATAATGTCTAAAATGTAGGATAGAAGCAATTCATAACAAGTGAAATTGTAAGTTCTGATGACTTTTCTTTTTAAAGAAAATTGTGTCATACAGTATTCATATTATCAACACTTCGCTGCGGCTTTTCAAAGAGAGATTTCCAACGCTGCTTCAAAATGTATGGCAGCTATTACCACGTAGTTTTAAGTACTGAATATATATGCGAAATACTTTATTACTATCCTGATTTAGAGTAAATCTTCAGAAAACCACTATAAATTCATGATAATCGAACTATTTCAGCTCAAAATTTATATGGATTTTATATTAAAACGACATAAATATATATATAGTACATATTATTATGAAAAATTGTGATCAAATTTCAATAGAATTGAAATTTCAAACCTAAAATTATTTCTTCAAGTTGATCCTAACAAGCTTATTTATTGAAATTTAAAGAGGCCGACAAAACAAAGTTTTTTAAAGAGCTATCATCGTTTCATTCCCAAAAAGTATCTCCATCAGCTGTAATAATAAACGTTTTGTTTGTTTCAGTGCGGAGCTCGAGCGGGGCGTCTTCATTAAGTATAATGTTATTAACATTTTCACTTCTCCAACTTCTCAGTTCTTCAATGTTGTTAGAAACGTGATAAATTATATTTCATATTTATTAACATCATCACACACTGTCTGATAACCCGACACTCGAAGGACAATCGTTTAGGCACTTTGGATAGTTATGTTTGTAAGTAATGTTCTAGGTAAGTTATTTTACCCCAAAGACGTATTAAGTGTTCGATCCCGTTGCATAGTTTTCCATCACATGGACATACTTAGTGTTTAATATCAGATACATATCTATATTTGATCTAAGTATTAACGCTTGTTTATTTTTATGTACCTAATATTTATTGAAAGTAAAGTTATTTTTATAGGGAAAACGGAGTCAATTTTAATTTTTCAATTTGGACAGAAAGCTTTATGCTTTTATTATAATCTAAATTTTGTGATTGTAAATACATCTCTAGGGACGCCTTCTTAGATAATACTATAAATGATGTAAATAAATATAGTAGATGAACTTTTTTTGTATTATTATTGCATATATTATTAGTCATCAAATACTTGTACGTATATATTTATTCAAATGTTAACTTTATGAATTTCATGTGTTTGATCTTTATTATTTTATTAAATTTGATAATGTTAAGGCTATAAAGGAGTTTTATTTTTCTTTGCTGTTTTATTACTCATTACTTATATAAATAAGTCGAATATATTATGATAATTTAGAAATTGTTCACATATAAAATAATGCCTTGATAAGAAAATAAAATAATAACAAAAAAATAAAAACCGACTTCAAACAAAAGCACTAAAAAGTAAAAAATAACTGATTGGTAGTTTTCATTTACTATACATACCTAATAAAATATTTTCGAAGTCGGTGTGCTTTGGCTAAGTAATTAAAGCCTACCTATTAAATACATACCTAATCAAATATTTTCGAAATCGGTGCCAGCCCATACAAAGCAAAGCACACCGACTTCGAAAATATTTGATTAGGTATGTATAGTAAATGAAAACTACCAATCAGTTATTTTTTACTTTTTAGTGCTTTTGTTTGAAGTCGGTTTTTATTTTTTTGTTAAAAAGTTTTTATTTTTCCCTTTTTAGTGTAAACATTAGTAGCAAAGTAAGAATTCTAACGTGTTAGGCTTGTCAAATCAAACAAAATAAGCCCAAACTCAAAGTATCTACTATTAGCCGTTGAAGAGTTCCACCTATCCACCTTCTGGCCTTACCATCAGATCAGGTCAACAATACCGAACCACTGTACTATAAACGGAAATAGAAACACTTGCAAAGTTTCAAGTCAATATGACAATTAGAAGTAGGTTAAATTCATTATTAGCTATTTTTCCACACTTAGGGGTGGAATTTTTTTTTGAAATTAAAATAGGACCAATCTGGAAGTATACCCTTTCAAACAAAAGAAAAATTGTCCAAATCGGTTAATAAATGACGAAGTTCTGAGGTAACAAACATAAAAAAAAAAATACAGTCGAATTGAGAACCTCCTCCTTTTTGAAGTCGGTTGAAAATTGATAAATAAACTTAAAATCTACTTCAGAGAATAAGAAACTTAAGACAACATAGTTGTGTTCTACATGCAATTATTATAGCTCCAGAGAGATAACTTTGTTGGAACTCACACTTAACAAGTTCGGTATGTAATAGAATAACTTAATTCATCAGACAGCTAAAATCATTTATTGTTAAAACTATTTTACTAAGCAAAGTACAGTCTAATATTAAGCGTTTGGGCAAATTTTAATGTTCTGCAGCCAAAGTGCGAATAGAAAAAATCCCTTATAATTTCGTTATTTCTGTCTGTCTGTATAGCACTTCATACATGTAAGGGACACTTCATACGTAAGTGTAAGAGTGAGTGACGATATTTGACAGCTAAAAATTTTGAAGGTAAGAAGGCTGTTGAAGGGAAATATGCTACGTTAGGCACACAATAATCGTAATTCGTATCTAAATATATTCTAAAGTGGTAAGATATATAAAGAAAGTATCTTCACCCGTTTTCTAAAGTAGCAGTGAAGTACAGAATTTACAAAAACTTGTAAAATACTTTGAATAATTATGTTTTTACTGAAGTATCTACGTTGAGGTGTTTTTTTAAGTTGTGGGATATTTTCGGTTCAACGCTCTGCTACTTAAGCGGAAATAACTTCGTAACTCATAGCATCTTTTTAAATATAGTATGAAATACAAACTAATATTTGCTGTAAATAAATTAAAAGTTTTTGAATGTGTACATATTTTATTTTGATTTTAACCTTACATATTACATTTGTTAAAAAAATATTAATTAATCTTAAGCTTTTGTATTGAATTACTATTTGAATATATTTTCTATATGAAAAATAAAGTAAAAACTAAAAGCTAGTGTATATTACTTCATACGCTATTTTAAAGGGAGTTATAAAACCGCAAGCTACAATAGGTAATTTATAACGACGAAAAATTATACTTAATGCCTGTAAAAGTTTTACAAAGTTAATTTATTCTAAGATAGTGCACCATATTGTGGCGAACGTGAACCTACGCTGAAATATTATTGTATAAATAGCTATTCGACTTAAACATGATTAAAGTACCTTAAGTCACGCAATCAAAGTCTCTTTGGTAAATGTCTTGATATTAATCTACATCTTTATTACCAAAAATATAAAACTTTTTCTTAACTATAATACATAGAATTTAATGTAGAAAACGCACTTTGTAATAACAACAGTGTAATATCCTGAATTATGTCCAATTACTAGAAAGGCACGCATAATAATAATGAAATATAAATATACAAGGTAGTTTTTGATTTACTGAAAACCTTTTGGGAATATACTATTTAGATCATAACAACAACATTTGTAACAAGAAAAATAATATTTCTTAAATTTTTATTTTCATACAAAAATAAAAATATTTTTTTTTTCACCTTCTAAACTTTAAAGTTCTAGCATCTGGCCAAGTTTAAATGAGTAAGCGCGGCTTCCTACACCCCTCCACCCCTCCCCCTCCACCAGACACGCACTTTCTTTTGCTAATGCTGGACTATTACCGTTTAGAAGGTGCAATAAAAATATTTTTATTTTTGTAAAATTTAAGATATATTAATTTTTTTCTTACAGATGTTGTTGTTATGTTGTAAATATTGTATTCCCAAAAGGTTTTTAGTAAATTAAAAATGATCCTGTATATTTTGTAGGAAACTTTTATATCCTCAGATATATTTCTATTGAAAATGTTTCTACAAAGGTTATATATGTATATTATAACAGTATCATATTGCTGCTGACTAATCCATTATCACTCGCTTCATTATTATGGCGCTAACTAATAAATAAATAAATATGTCTTACATTAACACACAACACCATCTAGTTCCTTGGTAAGCTACGAGGCTTGTGTTATGGATACCAGATAGTTGATACATTATACATATACTAGCGGACCCGACAGACGTTGTTCTGTCTACACGTCTTTAATTTGAAAATTTCAAACTTTTTTTAATAATTTTTTTGATGAAAATTATTATTCAAATTGTGAATCTAAACCATTCCCAGATCCCCTTGAACACACACAAAAAATTTCATCAAAATCGGTCCAGTCGTTTGAGAGAAGTTCAGTGACATACAGACTCACAGAAGAATTATATATATAAAGATGACTTTTAAAATACATACATATTATAAATATAAACACCCATGACTGGAGTACAAAATGAATGCCCCCAGCGGGACTCGAACCCGCGACCGCTGGCGCAGAAAGTAGGGTCACTAGAAACTGAGCCAAACGTGTCGTCAAAAGCTACGTAAAAGGGGTAATGAGAAGGCGTATAAAAATATTGTGTATAATCGTAAATAAAAAAATAACTTCGAAGTAAAAAAACACTAATATGCATAATTTGCAGTGCTTATTTTTTATTCCAACTCCAAATTTTATTAGGCTAACTTATTTTTAAACCTTTTTAATAAGTGAAAATTTTTGACTCAACCTTGCTTCGTTCGGTCATAGCCTTTGTCTTCCTCCAGGTCATAGTCTGTTTACTAAATTTTCAATTTGAAGAAGTAACAAACATATACTGATACAAGCTTTTGCTATTATAATAGTAGTATAATTAATGTACGTAAAGTTATGTTACGTTAAAAGTGATGAAAGAGCAAATGTCCAGTTATTTTTTAGTTTTATATGATTTAGAGTCGGTTTACATGGTTTTTAGTTTTTATAATACAGATAGCAATGTTACATTTCAATAAGCTCATACAAAAATATACAAACAAACTTGGGCATTTCGTTCTTAGTGTTCCCTCCCGTAAAACGAGGTCATGTTATTTGGTTATCTTTTTAGAAATACGGATACAAAAAGTTAACAATACACGTTCGAACTTTATTATTTCAAGAAATATTATGTTGTGCAAAAAATTCTAAAAGCTTATCAATTTGGTACTAAATTGCTATCGAACTTGTTACACGAAATGAACGGAGTATTATTTTGGAGTTTAAAGTAGTAGGTAGAACTTTCTTTAATATCCACTTTCAGAACTTTCTTCTTTATAAGCTGTTTTTATATGAATAGCTTTTAAAGTATATTAAATGTCTTGTTTTTTTAATAATTGTATTTTTTTTAAAAAAACGAGCTTTTATTAAAAGCTCTAAACAGAAGAAAATAAACTTTAAATTAAATCAAACTCCACAATTTATTATATTACACAATTTATATGATATACAACTTTGTCGCGAGATTATATATAAATAATATAATAATCTTTATTTATCTATAAATGATAATTTCCTTCTTACAATTATGACACAGATGACAAATTTTTCGCTTTACAATTGAATTCCATCACAGATTTTTTTAATACTTTATATGTTTTTAATAATTATAGTAAATGTAAATATAAAACTATTAAACGCTTGTAATGCAGAACGTATCACTCATATCATAATAGAAAAAATCTTAAGTTCCCGTAAATAGACTTATTTATGTACATTATATATTTGTTTTGGCAGTGGTAGCTCGCTTGGGAAACCGAATGAAGTAAGTTCAAATCCCGGGTCTCGCACCTCT